GATTAGAGGGAGGTTCCCTGGCATGCAGATTAGAGGGAGGTTCCCTGGCATGCAGATTAGAGGGAGGTTCCCTGGCGTGGGCTTCGCTCTTCCCCCCTTCCTCCCCTCTGCATGGGCTGCTCCGAGCTTTGTAAAGATCCGAGGAATCAAGTTCTATACAGGAACCAAGTTTCGTTCTTCAGCATCTCCTCCAGCAACACAGAAAAGACCAACTGGCTCAGGTGCGCTGTATCAAGCAACAAAGCTCTCGGCAAGCTGGACCTCCTCAGAGCTTCTTTCGGGTGCAGCACAGATAAAGGGTGGGGTGAGCCAGGCTGTGAACGCACCCACGTGGCAGACGCGTGGGCTCAGGAGACTTTACATCCCCGCATCTTAGGGAAGGGAGCTCTTCGCCGGCTGTCTCAGGTGCCACACCTGAGACAAGCAAATAGCTTCCCACCCAGCACGAGCATTCGTGTTGCTCTTTATTTATGGTGAGACACAGCACACAGAGATGGAAGTAAGACACACAGGTGCAGCTTAACGTGTGGCTGTGGACTGAACACCACATGCCCACCACTAAGTGTAGGATAGTGCTAGCTCCCCAGCTCCCTGGGAAACCCTGGACGCGGCCCCCTCACATCCCCTTCCTCCAAAATGATTGCCGTGTTGCCTGCGGGAAGCCCCTTCCTTGCTTTTTCCCCCTTCCCTTCTCTTCCCTTCCTGCCCTTCTCTCTTCCGTGTGAGTGTGTGTGTGTGTGTGTGTGTGTGTATGTGCTACTAGAGATTGAACCTAGGTCCTTTACACTGAGTTACATCCCAGTCTTATTTGTTTATTTGTTATACTGGGAACTGAACTCAGGGCTTTTTTTTTGTCTTTTTGAGACAGGGTTTCGCTATGCAGCTCAGGCTGGCCTTGAACTCACTTTGTAGCCCAGGCTGGTCTTGAACTCGCAATGATCCTCCTGCCTCAGCCTCCTGAGCGCTGGGATGACAGGCGTGCGCCACCACGCCCGGCGAACTCAAGGCTTTTGTACTGAACTACATCTCCAATCCATTTTTTATTCTGAGATAAGATCTCACTCAGTTGCCCAAGCTGGCCTCAAACTTGCAATCCGCCTGCCTCAGCTTCCCAAGTATTTGGGGTTACATCCCTGTGCCCCCATATCCAGCTCTCGCTTTTTTTGTTCCCTTTGTCATTTCTACTATACATGGCCCATGATGCCAGCACCTATGTCCAAAACCTGTATCACTGGAATTATGCTGTGCATATTCTGTATGACTTCTTCCTCCTCCCTGTGGTCCTTGGTTGAGGGGTTGAAGCATGACCCCTTGGTGCCTAGAGATGTCCTCGGTCTTGCAGACTCGAGAAGTGTGCTGTCTTTGTAAAATTGACTTGAAGTCCCACTGGCCAGCTTATGACCTTTCTTCTCGTTTGTAAAATCAGAACAAACCACACCTCCAGACACGAGCACCTCCAGAACAAGAAGTGCACTTCGTTTGTCACTCTGTCCCCAGTACCTGCAGTGCTGGCCGCCCGGCAAACCTGAGTGAGCAGAGGAGTCGTGGAAGGTTCCTCGGGGGCCTCGTGCCACGCCTAAGTCAGAGCAAGCGTTCACTCCTCGCAGCTAGTCTTATTGTTGTTACCACTGGTGTTTATTTGAATACGTGTCACCAAGGATCCCCACTCCCTGATAGGCATGTACTCCTCGTGCACCCTGGAAATAGCGTGGGCTCTTCTAACATATAGAACAGAAGGGCCAGGATGTCTTAGTCTGCTTTGTGCTGCTGTAACAGAGTGCCTGAGGGTGGGTAGCTTATAAAGAACAGAAATGTATTCAGCTCCAGTCCCTGGGGAGTCCAGGATCAAGGTGCCAGCATCCGATGAGGGCTTTTCCATGCTGAGTCTTCACACAGTAGAACAGCAGGAGAGGGACAAGCTGCTCCCATCAGCCCTTGTAACAGTGGCATCAATGCATTCATGAGGCCACAGGCCTTAGGGCCTAAACACCTCCCAGAGACCCCCTTCCCTGCATGGATGAAACAACCCAGACTCCCCCGGAAGCCAAGCCTCCTACTCAGCCCAGACCTGGGCCCAAAGCCAGAGCCCACACCTTGCTGGTTCCGCAATCCAACGCCAGCTATTGAGCTTCTCTGCACCTTGCCTTCCTCACACGTCAGATGCATGGCACACAGAATGTGGGAGGAGGGGAGCTATGTTTATACAAAGTGTAACCGAATGCCCAGCACATAGTAGATGCTAGATAAGAGATTACCATCATCTACCTATGTACTACACACCAACCAGCCCCTGCACATGAAGCATCATGACAAATGAGTTGATACATTGTCTGTTACAGCTAGAGAAGACTTTTGACATTCATGAGGGCTTCTCCCATCACCTTGACAGGGACACCCAAACCACCAAAGACCACCAAAGCACATACTGCCACCCATGAAGTGAAATAAGAGTCCAACTCAAAATTATACACGATTCTTTAGGTCCTTAACAGTTCAATAAATAAGGAACTCAAGCTTTATAAAATTGTTTAAAATAGCCAGCCATGGTGGTGAATGCCTGTAATCCCAGCACTCAGGAGGCTGAAGCAGGAGGATCATTGCAAGTTTGAGATTAGCCTGGGCTACAAAGTGAGCTCAAGGCCAGCCTGAACTGCATAGCGAGACCCTGCCTCAAAAGGACAAAAAAAAAAAAAAAAAGTAAATATAGCCGGAGTAATGCTAAAGCAGTTTTAGTGAACGGTCTCTCTTGTTTGCTTTGGACTTGATCGTATCATCAGAGGGCTGAGCCACAGTGCAGTGTCGCCCTTTTAAAATCCCAGACATCTGACATCTAACAGGTCCAGACCTGTTCCTCCCACAGTCTGCCCCACCTTGGGAGCTAATTCCCCATCAGAAAGCAGAAAGTCCTCTGTGCTTGCTTCGCTCCCATTCCCCACCTCCATCCCACCTGGCTTCAGGAGACCCCGTTGCCATGGCGCTGGGGGAGGGTATCTGGGAGGACAGGAGGTAGACAGCCATTTGCTGCATTTGCTGCAGCGTGGATCAAAAGAGAATGAGCAGATTGGCGGGCACGATACAAAAAATAGTCTAAGCTTTCATTCTGACAAACACTGATATCTCTGAGATACCCAAGGGGAGAGATCTTCCACAGGAAAAGAGTTAAACAACTCTTTAAAAAATTGTAGTCATTTAAAAATGTAACACTAGACCCAGTATCTGTAAAACTCCTAGAGTCTATTTGCTGTTACTATAACAGAATCCCTGAGACTAGATAATTTATAAAGAAAAAAGGTTTATTCTGACTGGTGGCTCTGGATGCTAGGGATCTAAGAGCATGGGACCGACATCTGCCTGGCTTCTGGGGAGGGCTTCTTGCTTTTTCCACTTCGTTGGAGAAACTGGAAGGGAAGAGGGAGAACTCACAAGAAAAGGACACAAGGGCTCTGTCCCCACCACCCAAACTCCCTCCCCTCGGCCCCCTCTCCCAAGACTGCCCCAGGAAGGAATGAGCTTAGACTTCTGGGGATCCACTCAAGCCACAGCGAGAGCATACACTGCAATCTACGTTTCCCGCGTACTTGAGGGTTTTGAAGGTCCTGTCCTGCCACGGTTCCGTTAGATGCTCCCTAGTTAAGAGCCGGGGCTCTGGCCGCAGCCCGCCCGAGCTCGGGTCTCCCCGCTGCCTCTTTCTGCCTGTGTGCTGTCGGGAAAGCTACTTCAGCTGGCTTTGCCTGGAGTTTTTCATCTGTAAAATGCGTAGAGTAACAGCCGCAGCTGGGAGGTTGACGAGGAAGTGAGTCGGCAGCTGCAAAGCCCTCGGAAGACGGCCTGGCGTTTGGCGAGCGCTAGGTCGGGCCGGCTGCTCCTGTTCCCCCTGCGGTGGTGACCGCTGTGGCTGTGGGGTCTGTGTGGACCCTCACCGGCTCCTCCTCTGCCCGGGCTCCCCCTACCTGTCACCTGGAGGAGAAGGGATGAGATGGCCACGGGCGCCTCTGGAGGGCGAGGAGGGGCCGGCCCCCCAGGAGGAGTAAACACCGCCTGCCCTGCGGGGGAGGGGGGCGTTCAGTGACAAAAGCCTTGGGAATGTCTGGGGGAGAGGGAGGAGCTGCTCCCGGGGAGCTCCGCCCAAGTTGGAGGAGAACGGAAGCATTTGGTTCATAACAAACGAGTTTTGCTTCATGTATTCCAGTTTGGCCAATTTAGGTTTCCTGGCAAGTCTCAAAACAACTCTCTTTGTTGACCCGCCATGTGTGGCTCTGATCATGGCCCAGCCACGCCACACAGCAAGACACCAAGGTGAGGCCACATGACACGCTGGGAACAATTCCGACTGAGCTAAATTCGGGGTGAACTGAACGCCATGGGGGCTTTTCTCAGAGATCTGAGAGCTTCAGAATCCCTGGATGGCAAAGCAGAACAAGTGGGAGGTCCACCCCATCATCGCGTGATCTCACACAATGGACAGGACTCAGGCACTTTCAGGTTAGTTCATGCTCCCAGCAGTCCCACGGGTGAGGTGTTACCCGTCTTGTTCACAGAGAGGTTAAGTAATTTGCCCAAAGTCACACAGCCGGAAGGGGTAGACTGGGACTGCCTTGCAGTACGACTGGCTCTGGGACCCGACTGCTTCCTGCAGATCCAGAGATGGATAAAAGGGTAGCACTGGTACTGCTGAGCGTTAGGCTGTTTGTGGCACAGTTAGCGTTGCTAGTAAATACTGTAGTATCAAATAATAACTAACATTCACAAACTCTTAACATACGTTATTCCATCTACTCTTCTTTGCAGCTGAGATTGAGGTGCAGAGAATCCCAAGTTGTCCAAGGTCATATAGAGCTGGCAATGCAGCTAGAGCTAGGATTCAAACTAGAGAGCTGCTCCAAACCCTGCACGTGAGTGCCCCATGCTGTCTTCCTCCTACCAGAAACAGGTGCCGCTGCCCTTGGGCACCGGCCCCAGCCATGCTAGCGCTCTGTCCAGATAAGACATGAAGTCTGCAGCCAGGCAGTCCTAAATTCACACCTGAAGGGCTGCCCTCAGCTCCACTTCCAGGCTCCACTTCTCCACCCTCAGCAACTGTCACTGTCCTCTCCTTCTGCCATTTGCCAAGTGTAGGACATGATCACCTGGGGAAAAAATCAGTGCCACAACCCCGCGGGGCCTCCTCCTCCTCCTGCCTCTCAGCCCAGCAGAGGTCCCTCTTGTTCACAGCAGCAGGCCGCAGCCCTCAGCCCCGGCCAGTTTTTTTGTTTTGGGGTTTTTTTGGTGCGGGAGGACAGGACACAGTCACCCACACCCACGGCAATAGGGAACAATGGAAATTCTACTGCCGGTTCCAAAGCAGAGCTGAGCCAGGAAGGGAAGCTCCAGAAAAACACTCGTTCAGTTTTATGGTTGCATGCTTTCTAGCCTGCCTCCCATGCACTTGTCAGCCCTTGGGTTTTCCTCACACGGGGGAGGGGGAGGAGGAGGTGACAGGAGAGGCCTTCTCTCCTCTCCTCTGTCCTCCTTCTCCCCCACTGGCCTCCTCTTGGTGCCTCGCTTCCAGAAGCCACTATGTTTCCTTATCCCCACACCCTTGGGTGCCTCCCTCCCCACCGGAGGGCTCGTGGAAGTGTTTCTTCCACAGACGTGCGGCCCTGCCTGTGAGGGCTGAAGCCACCGCCATGACCAGCACTACGAGCTGTCGCGCTTGTCCTGGGAGGGAAACCTCAGCGGCCTCTGCCACACTAGCTTTTCCCCTACTTCCTGGTCTCCACAGGTCACTGGTTTCAAAGGTCTTGGCAATTCTGCCCCAAGCCCTATTTTCCCCTCTGTGGGCTTCTAGCTCCTCCTCACAGCAAGAGGGATTTGTCCCTAAAGGTTGCCAAAGGCGGAGGCAGGAACCTCAGAGCGCGGTTACCTTGAAGAGCCTTCCCTGGCGAGCAGGCTCTTTCTCTTCCAAGTTGGAAATTTTTCACCTTGTGCCAATTAGTCCGGAGGGCACTGGGAACTCTGCCAGCTGAAACTCTCAAACCCTTAAAGGGAAAGCGAGCAAGGAACACAGGCAGCTTCCCAAGGGCCGAGGCAGCCGCCAGGTGGCTGTTAAAGCACGGGCACGAGGTAACCCGGGGGGCACACAGAGGAATATCACGTTAAATCCATTTCAGAAACACCCACCTTTGATTAAAGTCAAATACAGGACTTTTGTTCTCAGGAGAGTATAGGTTCCATGGTCAAGTTCTCCCGATAGCCCTGTCCCCTGACAATTACCTGGCAGAGACTTATAACATCAGAAGCATTGTGAAGTCTGGACATACACACATCACTTGACCAGCAGAAGGCTCGTTATTTATGATAGTAACACAAGGCCTGGCAAATGCTTCTTTTCGATCACGCTGGCTTGAAGATGTACCGCATGGTGTCTTCTGAAACAGATTTGCTGCCTCTCTTCACTGAGTTTTCCCCAGGACAACACTCGCCTTCCTTTGCTTCCCCCAGGCGAGCAGCACCCGGCTGTCCGGAGGAGCGCGGATGTGCAGGCTGGTAGGAGGGAGGTGGCTCGGGCAGACCTCCTGACACGCTTAGTCGCAGATGGGACGGCCCTTCTTCTGCCTGGCTGAGAGACGGCTGTACAGCTGCCAGAAGCTTCAATCCTTGATCATGAGGTTGAAAGAAGAAATCCTACAGCCGGACGAGGGGGCACATGCTTGTAATCCCAGCACTCGGGAGGCTGAGGCAGGAGGATCGCTGGGAGTTCAAGACCAACCTGGGCTACACAGTGAGCTCAAGGCCAGCCTGAACTGCATAGTGAGACCCTGTCTCAAAAAGACAACAACAAAAAAATCCTACAGATGCTGGCTGGACCCATCACACACGGTTAGAAGCGAGGGCAGTGGGAGGTGTCCAAGGAGATCCAGCTGGCTCTGGACACTGGAGGACACCAAACGAAGTATCATCATGGAGGACTGTTGTGTTTCGGATCTTCCGTGTCCCTTGGAGGCCATGTGCTAAAGGCTTGGTCACCAACCTATGGCACTGTTGGAGGTGGGATGTTAGGAGGTGGGGCTGAGGGAAGGCGTTAGGTCACCGAGAGTCCGCACTTTGAGGCAATATGGGGACACTGGCTCTTTCTCTCTTGGCTTCCTGGCTACCATGAGGCAAGCAGGCTTCTCCACCCTATGTTCTTACGCCATTGATGGCCCACCGCCACGGTGTCCCTCCGCCACGGTGTCCCACCACCATGATGTCCCATCACCTGCCTCACCGAGGGGCCAAAAGCAGCCAGGCCAACCATGGGCTGAAACCTCAGAAACACTGAACCAAAATAAAACCTTTCCCTTTTAAATTGTTTATCTAAGGTATTTTATCACAACAATAGAAAATTTTTTGGTTTTTTTTTGTTTTTTTGGTACCGGGAATCAAACTCAGGACCTTGAGCTTGCCAGGCAGGCGCTTGTGCCACTGAGCTGTATCCCTGGCTCAACGGAAAGTTATTGATAATATTTAGTTCCACAGAGGGGCAGCAGGGAGCAGTAGTTTCTGCTTTGGAATCTTACCCTGCTTTTACTACCCACACATTGGGGACTTTTTTGGGGTTTTTTTTTTGCTTTTAGTGTTGGGGATTGAACCCAGGACCTCAAGCATACTAAACACACACTCTACCACTGCGCTGCACCCCCAGCCCCCGCTGACAGATTTTAATGGCAGGGAAGATCACACGCCAGAAGTGCTTGTGAACATCACAGCAGAATCCTGCACTCCTCTCACGGGCCACATTTTTTGAGGAACAAAATGACCACAGTTTTTAAGGATTAAAAAACAAAGAAAACTGGTTTCCTGAACCTAACTTACAGTAGATCTGAGTCCCAAAGTATCTATTTTCACCAGACTTTCTTTTCATTTTTTTTTTTTTTTTTTTTTTTTTTGTCTTTTTGAGACAGGGTCTCACTATGCAGTTCAGGCTGGCCTTGAGCTCACTTTGTAGCCCAGGCTGGTCTTGAACTCAAAACGATCCTCCTGTCTCAGCCTCCCGAGTGCTGGGATTACAGGCATGCCCCACCACGCCCGGCTCCACCAAACTTTCTTAATGGTAACCAAGCACATTCTAACACATTATTTGTTTGTTTGTTTGTTTGTTTTTCCTACTTCCAGGAGGGGAATTAAATGTGTACCCAGATAGATGCCAAGGCCACTTTATTTTTGCTTGTGGCTCTCTCAAGAGGGCCTTTGAACAGCTTTTGGAGTAGGGGCAGTCTTCCTTGGAGACAAGATACATGGGGAGAAGTTCACTCCCCTCCCCGTCTGCAACTCCCCTCCCCGCTTTCCCTTTGAGGCAGCTCCGTTGAAAGCTGAATGTCACACATCCTGCAGCTCTACCTGGAGTCTCCCTTTACTGACACTGATGTTTTCTTTTTTTGTGAAGGGCGGAGGAGCACGGATGAGGTCAAACTCCGCGATCCATTTTCAAAGTGTATGTGAGATGCTTCTCTGGGCTTAGGAGGAGGAGTGTAAACGGCCTTTTCCAGCTTCTGAAACTGCACTGTGTTTAGTTAGATTTAGGGAGCTGGGCGTGTAGCTCAGTGGGACACCCCGGGCATGAAGCCTGGCGTCAAATCCCCAGCACGCTCACAACAAGTGCATGCGTGCGCGCGCGCGCGCACACACACACACACACACACACACACAAACTGTTTATTTGTTAGATTCGGGTTTGGCTGTCGGTGGCAGAAAACCTAAACTGACAGTGGCTTGAGACATAAACTTATTTTTCACCCCCGTCCAGCGAGGAAATTGATTATTGGTGACTCCGCTCTTAAAGTCCTCAGGAACTCGGGCTCCTTCCTGTACATCTCTTCCGTGCCTGAAGGGGTCCTTGAGCCCATGATTCCAAACAGTTGCTTCTATACGTTAGCTGGTAAAGTGAAAGGAAAGAGGGCAAATGGGGGTGAAAAGGCACATACAGGGGGAGGTTTCCAGCCACTGTCCGGAGAAGGCTTCTGCTACTATTCCTTCCATTGGCCAGAACCCAGTCACATGGCCACACTGAACTGCAGGGGAAGCTGGGAAATGTATTCTTTTCTGGATGGCTGTGTACCCAGTTAAACATTCCATTCCTTTCCTTCTCTCCTTTTTTCTTTCTTCCTTTCCTTCCTCCCCTCCCTCCCTCCTTTCCTTCCTCCCCTCCCTCCCTCCTTTCCTTCCTTTTTCTTTTCTGCAGTGCTGGGAATCAAACCCAGAGCCTGGTACACGGTAGGCAAGTACTCTACCACTGAGTCACACCCCTAACCACCCCCTCCTTTTTTTGTGCGGTTCAGGCCAGACTTGAACTCACTTTGTAGCCCAGGCTGGCCTCAAACTTGCAAGGATCCTCCTGCCTCAGCCTCCTGAGTGCTGGGATTACAGGCGTGCACTACCACACCCGGCAACCCTCCTTTTCTTGAGGTAGGAGTCTTACTATATTGCTCAGGCTGGCCTGAAATCCTAGGCTCAAGCAATCTTCCTGCCTCAGCCTCCTATGCCATTGTTATGACACATTCTGAGGTGAGGGAAGTATGAGAGAAATGAGCATTGGCCCATGGGGATGGGCAGCTTCTGGATGTTTCTTGGTGATGTCATCCTCCTGGCATTCACGCCCTCATGTAATCTCCACTGTGGGCTGGACCTGCTGACCTCCTCCTAAAGAACAGAGTGGGTGAGATTAAAAATGGCACAGAAGAGACCAGCCACAAAATACAACCTCTCTGGGACCTAGGCTAGAGACACTGGAATGCAACAACTTGGTAAAGAGAACAAAAGCAGATCTTTGGGAATCAGGAGGAAACTGGAAACTACAGAAAAGCTGGAGAAACGGAGCCCAAAACAGAGAAAAGAAAGAAGCAGGGGGCCAGTCTCCACACAAGATAAACCCAGGGAGGGTCAGAAGCTCCACGGAGAAACAGAAGACCAGGCAGCTCTAGTCCCAAGAACAGCCTATGGTGACTGAAAACTGCAAAAAAAAAAAAAAAAAAAAAACCATGGGAGTTTACTCTGAAAGTGATTTCTTCTGTGTTGCAGGGCTAGAGTTGGAGAAGAAATCCAGTGTAGCACCTGCCGTGTTTGGGCGGGTTTATTTTTCTTTTTTTTTT